AAAATCTTTAAAAAAAAAAAAAAAAAAAAAAAGATCTTCCCTGAATCCCTAATCCATAGGGGCCCCTCCCCCACTCCGCTTTTCTCAATCACAGCCTCATCTGTAATTGTTTCGTTTGTTTACTGTGTCTCCTCAACTAAAATACAAGCTCCCAGAGGTTGGGATCCCGTCTGTTTTGTTCTTTACTGTATCTCTGCACCTGACCGAGGGTCTGGCCCAAAGGGAGCGCTCAGTACTTGCTGAACGAATGTAAAACTAGATGCGTGCGCGCTAAGCATACAGCGGTAACCACAACGCCTCGAGGGTCCTAACTAACGTGCATTCCAGGAACACCCCCTTCTTAATGGAGAGACACCAGGCACGGGGCAGGACCCCAGGGGGCAGGGCGCCCCACACCCCGCTCGGGAACCGACGAGTGGGGCCGGCCCGCGCGCGCTCCCGACGCTGGCCAGAGCCGCGTCCTGATTGGCGGAGCGCACTCCACCGCCCGCCCGTCCCTTCCCCGCCGCCGGCCTGACTCCCCCTCGGCCCTCAGAGAACAAGGCCGAGAACATCCGCACTCCCCGCTCAGGCCCGCTTGCCCTGCCCGCTCGGAGCACCGCTTCGCGCCGGGCCCTCGCCGCAGCGCGTCCCTCCCACCCAGCCTCACCTGGGCAGAGAGTTCCCATCTCTCTCCCCGCGTCGCTGGAGCGGTTTAAATCGCGCGCCGTAACAGCCTGCGCGCCGTAACGGCCCGAGTGACGTCGCCTGTGGGCGGGGCCAGGGGCGCGCCTGCGCAGACCTGCTTGTCCTCCGCCGGAAAAGGTTCGCGCCAGCCGCGGAGGAGTGAGACGTCGCGGATTGAGGGCTCGGGACTGGGATCCGGTGGTTGTACTGTAGCGGGTTCGTGCACCCTTCCGAAATAGTATGAAAACTCCCTGCTTTCGGCGCTAGACGCGGAACTGGGCGCTAAGGACCCAGCGTGGAGCAGGAAGGGCGAGGGCTCTGCTTTCACGGAATTTACTTTCTAATGGAGGAAGCGGATTACCAGGAAACAAGTTGATTTCCCATAGCGACCTGTGCTGTGAGGGTAGCAAAACGCTAAGGAGGTAGCAAGTGATGGGCTGGGTGTGGGACGGAGATGAAAAGGAGCCCACGCCGGAATGAGGCGCGTTCCAGGCAGGGGAAGGACAGATGCAAAATGTTGCATGTAGATTTTTAAAGGAAGGCCATCGTTTTTGTTCAGAATTTTGAGAAAAGCTTCCTGGATATCTCCACCCCCCGTTCAAAAAAAAAAAGTTAAGGTTGGAAATGAGACGGGTGTCATGTGCCACCTATCCCTTCATTCTGCTTCATCTGATCCCAAGAATTGTATTATGGGAGGAAACGGCCAGGACAATTCCTCCAAATATCCCTAGAACATCCTATAGTTTCTTATAATACACACCCGGCATTTTATAGTGTTTCTTAAGGATGCTATTGGCATTCAGGATGAAACAGTTCTTGACGTGTGGGACTCTTGCTCTCTTTGTAGGACTGTTCAGCAACCCTGACACCATTTGCCCACTCCATGCCATCAGTGCCCCTCAGTCATTCTGGCAACCAAAAAGCACTACCCTTTGTTGAAAACCACTTTTTACACCTATTTGGTTTTTCAGGAACTTGTGCTCCCAGTGACCACCTTCAAATCTTTAGCGTAAGGCAGTGTGGGATAGAGAAAAAGTTTACGGTATTCTTCGTCTCAGTGAATACAGCCTCCCAGGAACCCAAATCAGCTCACAGGAGCCATCCTGGATGCCTCCCTCCCCTCACTCTCCACACTGTACAATCCATCGTTGAGCTCTTTACTTCCTAAAAAATCTCTTCAATCCTGCATCTCTCCTTTCCATCCACATTATTTTCTTGCTCATTTGCAGCAGCCCCACACCCACTCTGACCCGCTTCTCATTGGGCCCAGGGTGGTGGTTGCTAAGGACAAATCCGACCTGTCACTTCCTCCCCAAAGTCTAAAACCACTCTCAAGTTCCACTGCTCTGGAAACTTCTAAAGTGATCTACAAGGCCCTGCAGGGTCTGGTCCCTGCAGCCTCTCCAGGCTCATCTTGCACCTTGCCTCCCCTTGCTCCCTGCCCTCCAGTCACCTGGACCTTCTTTCAGACTCACCCTCACCATGCCTGCTCCCACCACAAGGCCTCTGCACATGCCACGTCCTCCACATAGGATCCTCTTCATGCCCATCTTCACCCGGTTAGCTACCGTCAGCTTTCAGTTCACGTCACTTCCTCAAGGAGGCCTTCCCTGATATCGCTCAATTGTTCTTACTGGAGGCTTTAGTAGAACTTGTCACCTTTGCAATTTTACATCTGCTGGGGTGACTCTTTCATGTCTGCCTCCTCCATAGACTGTCACCTCCATGAGGACAAAGCTGTGTCTTTGCTCACCATTGTTTTCCCAGGGCCTGGTGCTAGCCCTGGACACAGCAAGTACTTAAGTATGTATTGAATGAACGATATTGGAAGACAAGTTTAAATCCTGGATTGGGCATCTGAACATCTCTGGGCTTCATTTTCTTCCCCATTTATAAAATAGTGATGATAAAACCATCTTTCTCTGGGCTTGATGAGGAATTAGGTATTAGATTAAACTTGTGAGCACATGGGCTCAGAGTACACTAGAGTCCCTGTCATCTCACTCACTTGTTCCCTCTGTGCTGAATGCATTTGATTTTTTTTTTTTTTTTTTTTTTTTTGGTGAGGAACATTGTCCCTGAACTAACATCTGTGCTAGTCTTCCTCTAGTTTGTATGTGGGATGCTGCCACAGCATGGCTTGATGAGCACTGTGTAGGTCTGTGCCCGGGGTTCTGAACCCGGGAACCCCGGGCCGCTGAAGTGGAGCACTGTGCATTTGAGAGAGGAGAGTGGGAACAGGTTGTGATCCTCTGGGTTCCGTGTGTGTGCCAACTAAGAGCAGTGGGGGTTGGGAGGGTGGTAGGTTGCACTGAATGAGGAGCCTCTGAAGAACTGGCTTGGAACTCCTGGCAGAGGAGGCTACTAGGTGACCCGTTAGGTGAGGCATGAGGCTGTTCTCTGGTTATAATGGAGCCTCCTGAGCTGACTGCTTGGGACTCATGTGCTGGAAGGCAGAGCCAGCTCCACCCCCTGCGTTTCTGTGGGCCAGGCCCACTGGGTGCAGGCACATAGATCATTCACCTCCCACTCTGAATGCCGTCTTTGTTGTTTGGGGTTAGGACTATGAGGGTGCCATAAGAGTGAATAATTTATCAGTGGTATCAGTGCTATGCAAAGCTCATTTCCTTTGTACAAAAATAAAGTAGTGGGGCCCCTCCCCGACTCCTTGTCTGCCAGAAAAGCAGCACTGGTTCCCCTTCCCCATTTCACTCCTCGCCAAGATTCTACTTCCTCAAAATGGAGGGCAAACTGCCTTAGTTTAGGTGAGGAACAATAGTGTCAATCAGTTGGCTACCTGAACAAGCAATCTTTTGCCTTCAAATTTGCCCCGACCTTCCAGGCTGCAGCAGGCTTATATCATAATGTAGTTCATGATATAAACCATCAAGTCACTGGGGCTCAACAGGCATGTCGTTGAAATGGCTTTGCATTCATTTTGGCCTCTGAGCAAATGCCTTTAATTTTTGTATGTGATATGAAATTCCTGACCTCCTAAAGACTGGGCTAAGAACCAACAATTTCTGTCTTCTAGAATTTCCAAACAACATACTACCCTTTATCTTAAAATTAATATAATGTTTTTTGCTTTTCCAAGCACTTTAACCCTTACATCTTGTTTTATTCCCAAAACCATGCTGGAAGGTTGCTAGGACAGGTATTTTCTTCCAGACTCTGCCATTTACTAGCTGTGTGACCTTGGGGAAGTTGTGTACCCTTTCTGTGACTCAGTTTCCTCATAGTAAAATGGAGGAGATAAAGCACCCACTTCATGGGGTTATAGTGTGAGGATTAAATGAGTTACCAGATGTGAAGCATTTAGAACAGTGCGTGGACCATTGGCAGTGCTCAATGGACGCTAAGGATTCCCATTACTTTAACTGCTGTTATATCCTGGGTGCCAGCCAGGTATTGTTTCAGAATAAAACTCAGCTTCCTACATATCTGGAGAAGTTTCCACTTTCATTGTAAGAGTATTCCCAGAGCACTCCAGCTCTGTTCTTTACATTACTATTTGTTTTTTCTATACTCTTTCTTACACCCTCTGCCCCACCCAGGCTTCACTGACTGTTCCCTTTGTAGTCTTCTGCCCACTCATAACTTTACGTTTTCTTTCTTGCCTCTTACGACTAGAACCCATGCAGTTCTAGAACATACCACCTTCTTTCTACCTGACAGACTTATGCCTTCTAGAGCTTACACATGTTGTTTGCAGCCACTGAGATCTTTTAATTTGGCTGATATTTAGGGCACCATGCAAATGAATACCTTAGATGTTCCTTCATATTCTGAATTATTCTTTTCTGGCTACTGGCCATGCCACTGGGAAACCACAGGGCAGACTGTTTCAAGGTACGTTGAGAAATACCAGGATGTGCTGGATGAAGCTATCAGGGTAACATCAACTTCTTGGGAACAGGCATGTGAGAATGCTGATGTGCTGTGTGTGTCATTGCACGGATGCCAACTGATACAGAAAATAGCCTCCTTTATTGATTTGGAAGCAAAACACCAGCAAATTATTTTCTAAACAAAAGGCATATGAATGTTTATAAAACATGAAAATCCCACTAGCATCGAACCAACCATCATTGCATCTTAACTCGAAAGCAGTACCTGGCAGATACCAGCAGACAACAGGGGAACACAGCAGCTATTGGCAGTGGGAGCCCCAAATATTGACTGGCATCAGCTTCTGGGACACTTGTAATTTACTTTTGCTGGGGGGAGGGTGTGGATTCTACAACCAAAGCCCATACAGCCAGGATCTAAACCCCCTGAGTCAAATTAAATGTGGGGCCAGGTTCTCCTCTCCAGCAGATCTTCCTGGCATGCAGGGTAGGAAGAGCATTGGTATTCCCAAAACAACCACACCCACAGCTAGAGTCACATTTCTTAGCACTCCTCCTCAGGATGCCCAAGGGTTTAAAAGAAGGGAAAGATATACCAACCACATCTCCAGAATCCAGAGTTTGTTAGAGCTGGACTGCTGCACGGTCCCTTCCCGTCCAACCCTGGCAATGGGCCTGGATTGTGATGACCCCACTTTACAAAACCACAAACACAGTTCAAATAATCCCTTTGTGATCTTTCAAAAGGGAATACAAAGGCATTACCAGACTGAGAAAAAGCACAAACAGCTACACATGGTGGCTCAACCTTCTTTCCATTTAACAAACAAGTGGCTCCCCCAGAAACAGTAATTGTTCATCTCAGAGCCCCCCAAAAGATTGTCTTCATTAAGGGTTTTATAATGTTGCTTCCAGGCACTGAGAAGCTCATCAGATTTTGGCTCTTTAATTTTAGTAAATACATTATCTCAATTCTGGGACAAGTCACCATTGACAATGTTTGTTTGTCAATCAATGCTAATAAATTATTTGGATAGTATTGGAATTTTTTTCAGACACATGAAAAGTTATATTGTCATATGAAAATAGGGCTAAATTAAGAAAATGGAATATAAACATCTTGGTTATATTTTCAGATAATGAAGTTCTGAAAAAGTAGATCCTAAAATATGAGAAGTTGCCGTCACAGTATTTGGGATAAAATGGAATGCTATCAGCTTGGATGTGAATTAAGCTAACAGTTCAACAGGGAAACCAGTTTACAAGGAATGTGTTGGGAGTCATTCACAAAAATGAATAAGCTAGAACGGAGGTATTCTCTGGTTCTCTTTTGCTTCCAGTGTTGATACAAAACACAACTTCACAGGCCCCCTCTGGATCTCAACTCTGTAGCAGCAAGATCCTCCCATAACATCCGTTTCCCTAGGCCCTCTTTGGGTCATGATGAAAGTTAAGTGAGGAGAAGAAAACCTCAGAAGACCCACCCTAGATTAGGCCCTGCAGGCTGGACCCCATCCTCATCACCACTTCACGCACTCTGTAAAGTGTCTTAATTTATCACAGCCCCTATTCGCGAGGTGAAGGTCACATATCCCACTGATGTATCTGAAAAATAAACTCTTTTGCAGCCTGAGGGATCAGAAATACCTTCTCCCCTTTTTTTAATAGCCTTTACATTAATGTGCCCCAGCCAGTGCGGCACCGGGCAGAGTTTTCACCCGGGTCAGAAGGTTGTGGAACTCTTCCACTGCCTGTGAATGTGCCAAGGGGTTTAGCACCAGGTGCTGAAAGAGATTGACAGGCTCAGCATTCCGAAATGTCTTAGGGATCGGGATGGTCAGGGGCAGAAAGGAGTTACCAATGAGGAAGTGATGGAGGGATCTTTGCTGGAGGCCACGGCCCAAGAACCAGAGGATGTCCTGGAGCCGCTGGGAAAGCATGTTGTGCTGCCAGTCCGTTAGGGGCAGCCGTAGCAACAGGTGCATGAGGGCTGTTTTGAAGTGGTAAGAGGTAAGGATGGGACGGGATGCTCCCTGGGGTAAACTCTGAAGGTCCCGGAGACTTAAAATGATCTGGAGGCACTTGAGGTGACAGGTGTTCTCCGGAGCAAAACGCCCTACTAGCTTTAGGAACAAGTGCTCACAGGCTGCAAAGGACTCTGGCCAGTCCACACTGGTGAGCTGTTCCTGGCCAGGGGCCTGACTCACCAGGTAGACCAAGGTGTCTTCCCGTTGCACCCCCAGGACCAAGCGGATTGAGAGAAAGCGGCCTGAGCGGTAGTCCAGCCTGAGTTTGCAGGTGGTGGTGGATGGTGGGAGGCTGAGCTTAAAGTCATACTTGTGGGCCACGAGGGCCCAGGCATTGCCCACCATGTTCCGGAACCACTGCACCATCTTACACACATCCAGGTGAGAGCCGGTGCAGAGAGCCGCCTTGATGGAGCTGCTACTCTTGCCCACGAGGGCCAAGTGGTCCCTGTGGTGGTGCACCAGGCACAGCACATCCCCCAGAAGCTTCTCACGCTTGCAAACGCATTCCGACTCCACCTGCACACAACCACAGCGGCGGCCTAGGGCTGGATCCCTCATCTCCAGCACAAACATAGTGCCCTGAGGGGGGACAATGGGCACCAGGACATCAAATTTCTGGGTCTCGTGTAGGGTTCCCCATTTCTCGAAGGCAGCCCCAATGCCCAGGCAGTCCTCCAACTGTGGGTGAGCCTCCCGGCGGCTGAGCACCCGACAGGCCTCAATGAGATCGTCCACAAAGCTCTCCACAAACTCGCAGGTGCAGGGCAGGTCACGGATGACATTCTGGACATGGAGTTTGTAAAAGGATTCCAGGGCCTCCTTTGAGGGGAAGTCCGTAAGCCAGTTGTAGGAGGTGACAGGCACAACACGGACTTCCTCCTCCTCATCACTGCTGGAATCAAAGGCCGGCTCGTGCTGCATGTTCTGTCGCAGAAGCTCGAAGATGAGAAAAAGGCAACAGAGGCCAGCATTCCACAGGTTTCCCAGCATCCAGCTCAGCGGCCCCTCCTGGCCATCAGCCTGGAACGGCCACCCCATGTCTTTCTTCCCCAACACTAACTGGTCACTGGATGTGTCTCCTCTCCAGAAGTTCTCTGCCTTCTGCTTCTGCTCAGCTGCTCGCTTTCTCTCTTCAAACTCTATCTCTAACTGGCGCATCTCCTCGCTCATCCGCTTCTCCAGCTGCCGGCTTCTGGCTAGTGTGTCCAGGTCCATCCGGTCACTGACCATCAAGGGGTGGTGAACAACATACATGACTGCCAAGAACAGAAGGCTTATCACAGCCATGGAGGCCTCTGCATCTGGAGAAGTAGGAGGGTGGGAGTCAGTGGTGATCTTCGGGACTCATCTGCTCTCCAGTGCATATTCCCCAGAGCCCTGGAACCCCAAATCCTGGAAGTCAACTACTCAGGGAGAACAGAAAGCTCACAGAGCTGGGGTTGGACAGAGCAAGTCTGGTCTGTCCGGGAGGAGGTTTGGGAGAAAGGGGGGCAGCAGGATGTGCCACTCAGTAACTCGACTGCTTTCCCTCCACATGGTGTGAGTGGTATTTAGGCTTCCAGAGCGTGGACATGGGACTGTTTTCATTCCTGTGTAGGATGGGGAGGGGGAACCTTGTGGTAGGATGGCCTCACCCGACTCATCAGTCCACCATGGGCACCAGGTGTGCCCTGCAGCTCCCAGAGACTGCCTTCCACGGGCAGAAAGCACTGGTCTGCCTAGGCAACACCTTTCTTCTTGCCAGGCAGCCAGCCCCAGGCCCCATCTGCGGCATCCCACTTCCTCTGTGACTTCACAATCCTCATTCTGCGCACCCTGTATCATCAGACCACTCAGTGTCTTCTCCCACGTGCCCAGGGGGCCAACCCCCATGGGTGCCAGGGAGGCACAGTGCCAGCAGCCACCTCTCCACTGCTTGCTGCTGTTGTCTCTGAGTTCCTAAGGGGGCTGCAGGGTGCCCCATCGGTGGGCGGGGCCTATAGGCACGCACAGCTCCACCTCTCAGCCCAGGAAACCTGTGAAGACCCGGGTGCCCAAGGCCACCTGACGACCGGCAGTGGTCGGTTCACTGCCACCCCACCCACCGCAGAGGCCTGAAGCTTCTTGCATTCTCCCCACTAGTTCACAGGCTACTGGCTTACCGAGATGATGAAGGACTATGCCGTGTGGGCGCTGAAGGCGGGGGGTGGGGGGGGATTCTCCTCCCTTTGGAACTTGGCCTTGCTTAGTCTCACCGCCTTCTCCAGGAGCCCTGTTAAAATTTACAAGGTACCTGCGGGCTTTGGCTCAAAACAGAGTGCTCCCCCCGCCTCCCCCCGCCACCCCATTCATAACTTCCTCAAATTCCACGCCCAGGGATCTGAACTCTCATCCGCCTATCCAGACCAAACCTCTTCTGGGTTTCTCCCGGGACCTGGGGCCAGGTTACTCACCGTCGGTGTTAGCAGGAACACCATCTTAAAGAGACAGTGCGGCCTGACCGCCCCCGCCTCCTTCCCGGCGGGGTGGGGGCTCCGGGTTCCTTGCGGGATCCGTCCGCGGGAGTGGCCCCGCTCCCCTCTCCCGGGGAACACACCATGTTTGTCCGAGTGTCGACGGTCTGCGCGCGGCCGGCCCCTGGGACCCCACAGTGTCGCACGCCGCTCGGAAGGCGCCAGCCCCGCGCCGCGGCTCCCGCCGTCTAGGCTCCGCCCAGCCCCGCCCAGCCCCGCACAAGCTCCTCCCACCCAGACGCCGGCCGCGGAGCGCGCAGGGGAGCCCCGCCCTGGGGCCCGGTGACCCTCCACGTGCACGCGTGCCCTTTGTCCCGGCGCGGCTCCCAGGCATTTGTGTGCAGAGAGCGGGGGCTACGGCCGCAGACTCGCTGCTGAGGGCCGGGCTCGCCGCAGCTGCTCAGCCTTCATGGGGTGCCCGCTTCGCTCAGCTCGGTTCAGTGGAGAATATATTTACTGGGAATTTAAGTGTGAGAATCAAGGTGGCGTAACTAGGAATTGACGGGGGGAACGTCATTCCCACTTCAGGCTGGCCCTGCGCAAAATGGTACAGGAGATGAGGTGTGTTGTCAGCATCCTTAATGTGCCTCACTCGCAGCCCGCTCCCTTTCTCCTATCAAAGTGGCTTTCATGAAAGGACCAGACAGCACCCAAAGACCTGGCTTGAGGCCTTACTTGCCATTCACTAGCCACGTGGGAATAAGAATCCTAAACCTAGGGGGTAGCTCTGCTGATGAGATGGGTGTATAAGAGAGTGTGGAGGCTGGACAAGCCTTATGATACATTAAGAAATAACATCAGAATGGGTTTCCAGAAAAGGAGCTTCAGAGTATCAGAACGAGCCCCCAGCCCTCCTGTCCTGTGTCAGCTATCCAGGGAGAAAAGGAAGTGATGATCTCTTGATACTCACTAACTCAAGTCCTTGTGCTGAAAGACAATCAAGTTTCAGGCCTCCTTATCCAGTGCAATGCAGAGGGGGGCCCCTAACAACTTGGACAGCACTTCCAAAAATATTGACTTAATTTTGGAGGGGGAAAGATTGTCTTCTGGATGATCATAACTGAAGTTCCAAAGTTACTCTTGGGCCGGCCCCGCGGCTTAGTGGATAAGTGTGTGCACTCTGCTACTGGCGGCTGGGGTTTGATCCCGTGTGCACACCGATGCACCGCTTCTCCGGCCATGCTGAGGCCGCGTCCCACATATAGCAACTAAAAGGATGTGCAGCTATGACATACAACTATCTACTGGGGCTTTGGGGGAAAAAATAAATAAATAAAATTATTAAAAAAAAAAAGTTACTCTTTATAAACTTGCCTGATGAAGAATAGACCACAGGTTACCACTAAGCATTAGTGCATTCAAGGAGTGATAATGAAATTCTCTATTATTTTTAAATTTATGACATGACAGTGTTGGGATGAAAATACACATTTCAGAGTGTGAAAACCAATGGTGTTTAAAGCCAGGTGTTTAAAGATGTGTGTTCATGGTCAAATAAGGGTTTGTTTTAAAAATGATTGTCGAGTTAGAAGACATTTGTTAATTTATGGTCTGCACAGAAATGAAGTTGGTTGTTATACTGAATTAGATACTCTGAGCTAGAGAACTGTTAATCCACTTAAAGATCACATTTAAATCAACAAAAAGCCCTCAAGCATTTCTTAGCCTATTTTCTGGTGATTTTTCTTCTTCAGCGTGATGTGAAGTCACTGTTGGCTTAATCAGTGGGATTAATAGGAACCAAGTCATCTGGACACCTTGTCACTCATGCTAATTGGTGCTTGTACACAAATGACGTGTGAGTAAACTGCAGCAGTGATCGCTCATTTTAACGACTGAACTCTACTGTGGGGGCACTTTCCCTTTTCAAGCAAGGAAACATGACAATACCCCCAAATAAATTTATTTTTATCATTAAAAAAAATAAGTACACTAAAGCACATAGAAAGTAAGTACGTACATAATCTACTCAAGTCTGCCTCTTGCCCGAGAAACCTAAAATTTGCTTAAGACTATTAGCCTTTTGGTGAAAACAGTTGCTCAGAAACTTGAGAATGTTGGGAGAAACATCAATAATTAATTTTTTAAAAAGGCAAATGATTTTGAGTGGTTTTTCTTGGCTCTTGATGAATTGACATGTTACTGATACTGCTCAGTTGCTATTTATTCAAGAAACCAATGCAGAGTTTGCAATTACTGAAGAATCAGACTTTATAAATAATCTGCATGGAACAACTACAAGCAAGAATATTTTGAAGAAGTTGAGAAAACACTAATTCACTATAACCTGAAATGGACTCTGCTAAGATGTGTTGCAACTGATGGTGGTACAAATATATGTGGAGCAGAAAAAAGTTTAGCTGGACAAATTTACAAAGCATGTGAAAATGTAAGGTGTTTAAAGCCTGTGGTTGGGCCGGCCCCGTGTCTTAGCGGTTAAGTGCACGCGCTCTGCTGCTGGCGGCCCGGGTTCGGATCCGGGTGCACACCAACGCACCGCTTCTCCGGCCATGCTGAGGCAGAGTCCCACATACAGCAACTAGAAGGATGTGCAGCTATGACATACAACTATCTACTGGGG